TATATATAGTTGAATAACTTGTAAAAGAAAATTGAAATAACCCCTTTTTTTCCACATTGGGATTAACATTTGAAGTATATCGTATTGAGTCTGAATGTCACCTGTTGCAGCTGCAGCACGTACACTGCAATGTTTGTGTTATGATTGTATCAATTGACTCTTCTTGCTCATTATAAGAATTTATGCAAAACTGACAGATATTTTTATGTCCAACCGTGAATWAAAAGAGAGTTCATTCCAGAGCTTAAAGAATGAAACACTGCTTTAGGAACTCGCAACTTAAAACAACAACAACAAAAAAAATCCTAATCTAATTTATATGAAATTGTGCAGTGATAAAGTTTAGTTTTATATCATTTATTGCTTCACTTTAAGAGGCACTTAGGAGGAGTAGTAAACTTATTTAATGTGTTTCTCTTGTGTGTTTTCAGCCACCTGTGCGTGATGGCCCGGTTACACGCAGTGCCAGCAGAGCCGCCTCTCTTCACTCACTGTCTGATGCCTCTTCTGATTCATTTAATCACTCTCCTGGTGAGATAGATAAAACTGTTTTCTTTCTTCTTTTCTTTTCACTTCCATCATCCAAGGTTAACTTTGGAACAGTTCAATGGCATTTATAAAACACAGCTTTTGTACTGTGTACCAGGAAAATGTTATTGAATATAAAAACTGCTCTTTATTTCAGCAAATATCCCTGCATAAAAAAAGCATTTATCTTTTTATTTAGTCGTGGCTTAACGTTCTTTAGGATTCATCTTGTTTTCATGGTTTATCATTTTTTTATGTGTTTTGTGTGTCATGTTTTGCATCTAACTCAGAATTAATACAATCTTAAATGCCACAATTTGCCAGTGACATTTTTAAAGCTAAATCAAGTAGATCTTTTAAGACTTAAAATGTCTTGTTTTATTTATTCATCATATAGATCTTTGACCTTCGCTTTAATTTTTTATCTGAATCAGAATCAGTTTTATTGCCATTATCAATTAACAGGATTCACAGACTAGGAATTTACTTCGTTGTAAAGGTGCCATAAGGATAAAATATAACAAATAAAGAAAATACAAAGGATAAAGGGAAAAAAATATAATAAAATATATAAAACATATGTACACCAGTTCAATACACTAATCAGAGCAGACAATATAGTTGGAGTAGTGCAGTTA